CTTTTGCTGAAGTGATAAGTACAAAATAAATGCCAATTACCTGTTCTATTTATTAATCCCTTTGAAATTAGGCTATGAAGTCTTGGTTGTTTTATGGTCCAGAACTCGGGGAAAATCCATGAAAACAATTACACCCCATCAGGGTTGTGTTTTAAGTGAACCATAACGAAAACTCGACCCATTCCCTTGCTCGAACAGAAACATGCGTAGCTTGGGTAAAATTTGCTTTCCCGCGACGTCACTTTACGCATACAGGTCTCTCGTATTTTTAGCTACTACAACTTAAGATGTGGATATCTAGACAACCAATTAGAATATCTTAAAAGCTTAACACACTTTCGTCTAGCAAATAAAATACCGCGCTGCAAAGTTGCGCCGAATAGAACACTTTGTTTTGTTTGTTTGTTTTTTTTCCAAATAATCCCCTTTCGTACTGGAAATGAAAGATACACAGTCGAGCCTAGCCTTAATCACAGATATCTCAATAATACAAACAATTCTATGTTACATATCGTTTACATGGTCCCAGAGAAACTAGCTTTAGATTACCTCTACCTCTTTGGTGTCTGTAAAACGGGAGGATTGAATGTACATTGGCCGGGTGAACTCGCACCGGTGTAGTCTAAGTACTCTCCTGCGTGGCGGCCGTAGAAGGGGAGGGAAAGGGTCAAAATGAGCGCGGAGGATAGAGTACGCTTCGATAGAGCGCGCTACCCTCACGCGCTTCGCTCGCTCGTTTTTCCCCTTTCCCTCCCCTTCGGACGCCTGCCACATAGGCTATAGAAGTAGTTAAACGTTTTTTTTTTTTTTTTTCTTTTCAAGGGCCAACCATGGTGTGACTGCTGTGAACACTCAGGGTGTGACCCAGGGTGTGACTTGTCTGGTCTGACAGTCAGGGCAGGTATCATGTAAAAGAATACATAGAGTGATAAAGAGCCTAGCTCAATTAGGAACCTGGGTGAACTCGCTCGTACCGGCACGAAAAGTAATTTTCTTAGTAGACAGATTAAGCATGACGTTACGTCAAACGGCAAACGGCAAAAATGAAACTTGTCTGTCTTCAGCTGTCTGTACAGCAGAGTGAAAATATTTGTATTTGCGGTAAATAGTAAAAGACGTTTTTCTATTTTTGTGTAATTTATTTAAGGATTACAAGAAAATAATAAAACATAAGAGGTAATCTTTACCGTTTGCCGTAAACGTCATGCTTAAACTCTCTATTATTTAGGAACGCGGAAGTTGATTCAGAGGCGAATAAACCTTATGTGATCTCTCACTGCGCATGTACGTGCACAGCACACGTACATGTTCATTGATCGCGAAAGTTTTGAAATGATTATCAATGAATTGTCAGGCGTTAAACGGGGAAAGAGGGGGACTTCCTCGCATTTTTTGCCTCCCTACCCTTCCCCGTTTACGCCCGCAACGCAGGCTATTATTAATGCAGAATTCGAACGAATTTATATGGAAAATGAAAATAGAGCTGTAACTGCTAGGTCACTACACTCTGTTTTTTGGTCATTCAATGAGGAAAGTGTTGGGGATTAGATTCGAGATCACGAAAAAATATCTGTTACGTGACATGGTGTCTGTTATTCCTGAAGCGCTATTGACCTAGAGTCGTTTACGCCCTGCATACACGTTGTAAACTGAAAAATACCTCGATATAACACTCACTAGTTTTAAAAAACGACGAGAAAACTCACAGCGAAACGATCTTTCACTGTGTATCAATCAATTCTCGTAAAAACTGAAAATGTGCGCTTGTTTAAAGTCTGATTTGAGTCACATTGGAAAATACCTCTTCCGGTACTGATAACCTTTGTTCCACTGGCAAGGACATGAAGGAATTTGGGACTAGCGCTCAAGGAAGCTTGGTTTTATTATATTTTTTCACGTCTTCAGTGCTATATAAAAGATGCACTTCCCTTCACTTCTGCAGATTCGAAGTTGCGGCAAGGACTTTCATAAGTTACTACTAGAGGAGAAAGCATCACACTCGATCTTGAGGCAGTCAAAAAGAAGACTAAGGAGGTAAACCAAACCTAGCACTAACAGGAACATACAGAGATAATTATGCTACATAAATATGTTCATATAATGGAACTCTGTTATGCGTAAAGCTCAGTCGGGACTACTCACTGGGCACTTTTTTTTTTTTAAATTCTATGCTATTTTTTTCAGGGTTCGTAAACTTCGGAGTCCGGAGAAAGCGTTTCAATATTTAGAACCGTAGACTTAAAGAATTCATAGTTCTAAATATTGGAATCTGTTTCGTTTGTGTCAAATTTCTCCTTTCCAGTCTTCGTAAATAAACATGGTGGGCGCTGAAGGGAAGTCTTCTTTACTTTTGCTCGGCTTTTACCCTACTCAATTGCTTGAACGCGCTGGTCAAGACTGCAACTCGATTATTTAGCTTTTCATCCCCGTCAGGCGTAATCACAGAAATTGAGTCAAAGAAGTTCGATAGCACTCACATTGAAAAGTCAAAGAGAGACAGAACTCAGAAGTAAGACGATCAAAACTGAAGAAGTACGAGTAAAGCTGTAATGAAGACA